TATTTATAATATATTTATATATTATAACTTTTTCAAAATACAAAAAGTTCATAATTGTAAAAATAAATACAGATAATTTTATATGTACAGATTGAAGAAAGATTGGTTTAAAATAATTTAAAATATATAGGCTATATATTTAAATAAAGAAAATCTTATTCACTACTTAGCGGGGCGGGGTATCTAGGAGTTGGATGCCGTTAGGAGTTTATTGGAATACCGGTAACTTAGAGTGATCCTGAATCAAATTTGCACGAAGCAGTGAATTTGAATGCTTGGCTGAACAATTCGCTTCGACTAAATTAATTAAGTATTAGCTCTAATGTTATTACACTAAAGCCAATATTATCATGTTGGCTTGTATATATCTATTAAAGACTTTGTATTTACAGTAAAAAAATGATTGCTTTTAATATTCGGAAAGTTTTATAACATCTTATAGACTTTGATAAATAAGCCCTGTAATTCTGTATAAAATTAAAATAAGAAAATATTTTATTTAACTTATTCAAATATTAAGATTAACTGGAAAAATATTGCATTTTTACAAAAGATCAAATACTTTTTTTTAATATATCATAATTGAAAAGTTGTTCTGTATATTATAAAAATAAATAAATTTATTAACCTTTTAATTAAAATAAAAATTATCTTATAATAAAGTAAACATTATGATAAATTAATTTCATTAAAATTTTATTAATTAATGTGCATATTTAACATATATTATTTCATATAAATATTTATTTTCTGTAATAATTAATCTTATTAGTAAAAAAGTTAATTAATCAAGATTATGATTTTGAGAAGTGAATAGATTATAATTTTTATTAAATTACATCTTTTATTTATCATATATTTTCTATTAAAGTTTTTCATCTATTATGAATATGTGACACGACACGACATAATTTATTATGATATCGTATTTTTCTTTTATTGAAGGTATCTATTTGTTATATATATAAACAACATCAATAACAAAATGATCATAGTTTAGTCTAACAAAATGAATTTGTTTTTTAAATATAAAAATTTAAACTTTTAAGATGATTAAATATATTTAATCATCTTAAAAGTTTAAAAATATATAAAATTTGATTTACAATACTTTAATATTTATGTGGAATTAAAATTAATATAAAGGCTATTATATTTTTATAAAATAATATGTTATTCAAGTGGTTGTTTTAGTAAATTAATTGTATTAAATATTTTATAATTTTATATACAGCAAAAATAATTAGACTATGGGATGAAATTTTATATATTTAAGTAATTTAATCACTTTATTTTCTATGTTAGCTACGTAAAATTAGATTCTGTCAGTGGGATGATGGATGCCAATTATTTGGAACAAGGTTATATTGCAACGAAAACTATGTTTAGGTAATCACTATGCATAACTAATTGTCTGGATGATGCCATAAATGTTACCTTCATTCTAAAACCTTAAAATATGATTTTTTAAATTAAAATATTTAATAAATCATTTTTAATATACTTTAATAAAAAAATTTTCAAATTAAATTTTAAAAATTTACTTTGAAAAATAATGAAAAAAATTTGTTAATTGGACCAGAAATCTGATAATTTATATGGAATTATATTTAAATATCATAGGAACATCTCAGATACGTAAAAAATAAATAAAAAATAGAAAGTGTTTTTTAGTGATTAAAAAATGGCTTACACATATGTATGAACTTATCTGTTTGTCTGTCTGTTGTCTAGTTAAGACATTTTAATTAAACTATAAAACCAGAAGACTAAAATTCTTTGAAATTATTACTGATATTATTCGCCACACAATTTTATATTTTTATGTAACTTAATTTTAATATAGGCCTAAATAAAACTAAATCAACCCAAAATTAATTTATGTTTTCAATGCGTTAGATTAAACTTTAAATAATCTATTTTATAATATAATTTTATATAATTTTAAAAAATCGCTTTTATTTAACTTTTACACAATTTGAATGACTACTTTCTGTTAAATAATAAGAGTGAGAACTCTAAGCCATTTTCAACAGTTTATTATAACAAAGATCAAAAGAAACTTTTCAACAACTCTCTCTTTCCCTTACTTGATTTTGAATTTATATAATACACCGGATTTATATTTACATATTCTACAGCCTGAAATATTCAGGCGTGGTTTGCAGACATTTGGGTTGAACTCAGAAATAACATAACCCACGGCCATAAAAAAAAGAACAAGAATAGAAAGCATTATTACTTGAATTGTCAAATAGAAAAAAAAACTCATAACATTCTAGTAAATTATAGAGTATACGAATAATTATAATGTATTGGTTGAATATATATGTATATATTCAGCATTTGGATTCTCACATGGTAGCTACAGTAATGAAGCATTTAATAAAGCATTTACTAACACTTTATTTGCAGGAAAAGTTATTTCAATAACTTGGCTACACTATCGTAAAGTCCATTTCATTGCTGCTATCTACAACCAGTGAAGTTGAATTGACCTGATGTCCTTCAACTATCCTTAGCTCGACATTAATATTATTGTGAGGTAAGGGTGCTTCACTATACCATCATGTAATTTTGTACGCAATTATTATTTTTGTAAGTATTTTTATACTTTGTATATTATTTTATATTACCTTTTTCTAGATTATTATCCAATGTAACTTATTCGGTGTTATTTGTACGCTTTATTAATCTGGAATAACGAATATTAATTTGAGGGTTAGGATCTAAAGGAAAAAATTTTAATCCTGCTTTGTGATGAAATTCCAAGATCATATGGCGTCTTTTTTATTTATAGTATCATTAAATTAAAATATATCTTTAAAATAATTCATATAACAATCATATCGCGTGATAAAAAATATATAATTTTTCATTTTTAATATATTAATATTATTATTATTTATAAATTATTCTAGTATTTATATTTAAGTTAAACTATCTTGGAATATATAAAAAGTAAAATTTTTAATGGCATAGCTGATTCGTAGCAACAATTTTATTTTACATATTCTTAAATAAATATGGATACATTTTTAGTCTAATACTTCAGTAAATATTTTATTATAATGTGTTATGCAAGAAAATAATTTTAAATAATAGTCCTATTTTTGTCTTAGTTTTTTTTTAAACTAGGGCATATTAAATTAAAATTATTTTATTTCTACTTAAACTAAATAACTGAAATTTTATATGTCGAAATTTAAGGTATGAAAAAGATTTATTCTGAGAACAGAAACACGTTTCCGACAATATCAAACAAAAATTTGCTAAGTACTGCTTTAGGCAATTACATAGCTTAATTTAAAACTAAGTTTAATGAGTAGACATAAGAACTATGAGATAAACTCTTATTTTTGATTATATCTGATTAAACTAATGTAATAATTTTTTAAACAACGACAATTTAAATTTGGATTTTAATGTTTCAAAATGGTTTATTTAAAAAAGACACATGATTTAAAACGTTCCGTTTTTATTATCGAAAAAATAGGTTGTAAAATCACAGATATTTTATATTTTTAAAAACTTTCTTATCTTCTGAGCAATCTGTCATACGAGAATGCTTTCAGTTTTATTTTAAAACCTACATAAAGGTCAATAGTTGCTATGTTTCAAAAATATAAAGTCTAGGTCAATGCTTCTCAGTAGACATCACCAAGAAACATCGGATACATTTTCTTTCGTATTTTAAATATAAATCTATTTATGTTCGTGATTTTTGTTGCGTTTAAAGTCACGTATAGTATTTCCATTTAAATTATAATAAAATTCTGGAAAATTACGCCGTAATTCACTTATAATCTTTGATCTTACTAGAGTAGGTCTATTTAAATATTGTTAATTATATATTTAAATACATATACCAAGTTTATTTTTAAAAGAATAAGTATAGTTCTTCAAAGAACTAGAATTATTCTTTTAAAAATAAATTCGGTATAAGTAACGAAATATAAAATTCAGTTATAAAGTAATTAATGGTTTAACTCATTATCATTAGAATTTGTTAATTCTTTAATGTTTTTAGATTATATTATTGAAAATATGCAAAATTTCAAACTTTCTATGACTCTAAAAAAATGAAATATATTTGACAAATACAAGTTATTAAAAAAATCCTCATAGATCACATGTTAGACATCTAACCTTTCAGGCTAGATGATATAGTGCTGTACTTTAACGATCTTTAATTATAATATCCCACGGGCAACATTTTCTATGAATAATTTCAAAATTAATTTCGGTCTTACAAAGAGGGCAGTCGTTATAAATGTTACTTTAAGAATGCACATTTATAACTGAAATTAACAGAAAGAGTAGAAGAACTGCTATAAGATTAATATATGGTACTATTCTCTTTCCCTATTGAAAACCGTGCAAAATTACTACCAGTGTTTTAACAATTCAGTACGGTTATCAAAAATATATTCATACCTAGGCCTCTCACCCTACATTCTTAAATAGATGGAATAACCCTTACTGAGGATTTCCGTAATGAATAACGAATTAAATGTTATGATGCTATTATATTGACTATAAAACATTTTAATGGTGTAATTGACCCATTCTACTTATCTATTCCCTTTTCCTTAAAAAATATTGTCTCCATTTAAAAGTTAGAAAGAAAAACATAGTAGGCTACATTTAATTCTTGTTTCGATCGTCGAATCGTGTCTAGCATTTCGATTTATTTTATCATTTATTAAAATTCCGTATTCTTTACAAGTTAGAAAGAAAAACATAGTAGGCTACATTTAATTCTTGTTTCGATCGTCGAATCGTGTCTAGCATTTCGATACATTTTATCATTTATTAAAATTTGTATTTTAACATTGAATTNTTAATTTAAAAGTTAAAAATTCGTACTCGCAAGTCAGAATTATTTTGGATATAGCTGGGAATGCATCTTGGGATTATGATACCATTATTTTATAAAATTTTTGCTGAATTATCTATAAAAGAGATTTTATGCAAATTACGGCTAGATTTTTGTTGTTAATTAATTAATACAATAAAATCTATGTAAACCGAATAGCAAGATACCGAAAATTTATTTCGATTTGCTAGATTTCCATTTTAAAAAGGTTTTTTTTTTTTTAAAACAGAAAATCGCATCATTTCGAAGAATTTTTTCTGTTTAGTTAGGTTTCAGTTTTAAACAGGTTTTATTGTATTGATACTAACTAAAATATGTTAGATGTAAACATCTGAGCACAAACCTTGTTAAATTTTTCATAATCAGTTTCTACTTATATTCTTTTTCCTATTTTATAATTTTTGATACAATAATTGCTATTTTTGTTGTTGTTTTTTTAATACAAAATTTGAAAGTTTTGAAATAATTCATTCTTGTCCTATATATTTATTATTATTTGAATTTTAAATAACACAGAGATATTTGTGTTATGCGATTTTGAAATTTTCTTAAATACTATAATGTTAATAAAAAATTCTCTAGAAACAGCGATGATCCCAAAGAAAAACTAAGGAGCCATAACTATTGATACTTGATATCAATATAGATAGAGTTATGGAACGTTTGCGAATAAGAGAAAGGAAAGACTATATTTCATTAATTATATTCATAAATATATTTAATGAATAGTTACATATTATTATATTTTTAAGACTATAAAATAAATAAAAAATAACGTATTATTTATTATAGAAAAGTTTCCTAAAATTGTTGCTGGAAATGCAGTGATGAAAATGGGAGAAATAAAAGACGAAAACTGATTTTTGAATAAATTAAAAACTTATGTTTTGATAATGTAAAATATGATTATAAAATTATCGATTATTTTGTTAATATTTAAAGTAGATCATTGTTAAATAGACAAGAAATAATTCACAATTTTATTAATTTAAAAGAAGTAAAAAATAATAGTTTATCAGTTAATCTCATAGATTTTCTAAAAGTTATTTTTTGCATTAAAAAATGAATCAT